ATTTCCCATCTCTCCATCCCCTGATCCCTACCTACTTTCAGCAAAACCAACTGTGGCTCAAGTCTTTCCTGTCTTTCTCTCTGTCTCCCTCTTCTACTTTTAATGACCCTGGTACTGATGGAAACTGAATAACTAATTAGTAACTGCAGTTCTATTTTAACCTGAGTTTCTCTTTGTCACATTAAAATGCATAGTCACAAATTTGAGAAAGAACAGCCTGAGCATCTTCCAAAAAGTGTGACTATGCCTAGTACATTCCACATCAGGACTTTCTGTATCTGCCATCATTTATCAGCAGATTCCATAGAGCAAAGCAACCAAATAACTGTTCTGATCATGGGCAGACTTGCCTTCTTTTAATTACTCCTTAAACACTGAAGGAAATCATCAATTCATAATGCCCTTTACAGGCATAGTAGACATTATAAGCAACCTAGAGATGTTAATACTCAGGGGCTGTGCAGATGCTACTCGCAAACACCTTGTCATTTTATACACAAGGCTTGAGCACTCTGGTCCTGAGACCCACACCCTGTGAATACAGAAGGATAACTTTACTATAGTCTAAAAACACACAATCTCTATATATTCAAATACCTCTATATGTTTACATAAGCCATAAGCACACATAACTTCTGTGTCTGTGTGTTTGTCTTTCTCTTCGAGGGAGGTTTGTGATTTTAATTTTTCTCTGTGTCCTCTTCTCTATTTCCTGACACATTCTCTCTCTCTGTGTCTCTCTCTCTGTCTGTCTCTCTCTGCCTCTCTGTCTCTATCTGTCTGTCTTTCTGTCTCTGTCTTTCTGTCTTTCTGTCTTTCTGTCTCTGTCTCTGCCTCTCTCTCTCTCTCTCTCTCTCTCTCTCTCTCTCTCTCTCTCTCTCTCTCTCTCTCTCTCTCTCTCTCCTCATTGTATGCTAGGAACTAGCTGCAGGTTTAACTCAGAACACTCTAGAAATAATAGAGACCCTGAAAACTAGCAACTGTTACTGGCTCCCACATGGAGTCATGCCCTGCGTTGGCACCCATGGCAGACGGTCCTGACAGGATGGCAGGAGGAGCACTGCTCCCTTCTGCGTTTTCTGGTGCCATGGCGGAAACTGCAGGTAGGAGGCTTTCATTAGGAGCAGTCTTACTTAATTAATCTCTCATTACTGGGCAAACCATGGGAAGGATGGGCTCCACCAGGAAAACCATTTGCAGCTCTTGTCAATTTGCTCACTCTGTGAGCAGTCCGCCCAGTAAATCAAATGCTTGCAAGTGCAGTGCACACAGCAAATAATTAAACTGTCCATAAAGGCTGCTGAGGTCTTCACAGAGCTTAATTGTGTGTGACTCAGCAGCGAGGCAGGGTCTACTGGAGCCAGGAGATGATCTGGCATTAGCCAACTGCCTCCCCTGCCGGTGGGACTCAGGGCTGGCTGTGCCCTCTGAATGTGCCTACAACAGAAACAACCAGTGAGAGGCCAGTGAACCTGTGGAAGCCACAGTTCAAAGTTAACCCAAGTCCATCAGCATCTACCTCAAGCTTACTCCTCCGTGGCAAGGCTTTAGTATCTTCAAGAAGAGATGCTTTAGAATCTGTATCTCACCTTTACTTCATCCCTTTCCTGGAGCCTGTGAAGTCTGCCTTCTGCACCTGCCCCTTGCCTCCCTAACTCCTGTCACTGTATTCCTGGTCTGTAGCCTCTGGCATCATCCACAGAGGACTCCTTGTTTAGGGCTTCTCTCTTCACCCCCAGGCACTCAAGTCCTCTGGGATGCATCCTTACTGGTCTGTTTCCCCCACATCCCAGAGCTGTGAAAACGGTCACCATCCAACCATGTCTTACCAAGCCTCCTGCCCCAACTTTCTGATTAGGGCTCTCTCAGTCCCTAGTCCTTCACCCCACAGAGGGCAACATGGGTGTCTGTCCCCACCATATCCCACCCAGGCTCAGATCACCCTTGGTACTCAGCAGACCTCTTAGCAGGAGAAGCCACCCACAGGAAGACCATGCTCTGCCTCTCAGACTCAGAATCAAGAGAGCTGGGCATGGCCCTGCGTGGCCATTAGTGTCTTCATTCATTCATCCAATTTTGTACAAAACTGCAAATAGAGTAGGCACTAAGACACAGTCCATGGGGTCTCTAAGCCCATCAGACAGACATAATCTATACTGTCCACTACTAAGTTCACTGCTGTTCAGTGAGCATTGGTGAATGAATGAATGAATGAATGAATGGATGGATGGATGGATGGATGGATGGATGGATGGATGAACAAACAAACCAACGAACAAACTAACAAACTGAGGAAGATAGATCTCAGTAAAGGTGCTGGGGGAGACTGGGAAGGATCTGATTCCAGTTGTAGGGCCTAAGCAGACATGTTTGGAGCTTCAGTAGAAAATAAAATCTACCATGGTTAAAGGGATGAAGAGGGATAAAAAAGGGACAGGACATGGAGTGGACCAGGCAGCTGCAGTTGTATGTACAACTTGAATACAAGACCAAGGGTCCCACCTAGACACGGTTTTCACAAGATCCCAAAAGAACTGGCTATAAAATACAGCGTTCCCTCCAACTCCTCCCTGATCTCTTCCAATGAAGACTGAAGACACTCACACCATGAGGATGGTGTTAGCCACAGAGGGAGTGATTTTAATCTGAAAAGTGTTTAGGAACAAAGTTAGTGAGGGAATCCAGGGCTGAAATGGAGGTGGCAGTGCTTGGCCAGTCATGCAGAGGAAGCTGGTGGTAGGTTACAAAAAGCCACAGTTACGTCCTTAAGAGTACTGGCAGGAACGACAATTTATGCTGGAGAGGATGTGGTAAAAGGGGAACACTCCTCCAATGCTGGTGGGAGTGCCAACTTGTTCAGCCACTTTGGAAATCAGTATGGAGATTCCTCAGGAAAATGGGAATCAATCTACCACAAGACCCAGCAATTCCACTCTTAGGCATATATCCAAAAGATGCCCATTCATACAACAAGGATGCCTGTTCCACTATGTTCATAGCAGCATTATTAGTAATATCCAGAACTTGGAAGCAACCTAGATGCCCCTCAACTGAAGAGTGGATAGAGAAAATGTGGTACATTTACACAATGGAGCACTATTCAGCAGAAAAAAAAACAATGGAATCCTGAGATTCACAGGCAAATGGATGACACTAGAAGAAACCATCCTGAGCAAGGTAACCCGTCACAAAAAGAGAAACATGGCATGTACTCTCTCATATATGGATTCTAGACATAGATCTGGGGAGTGCCAGCCTACAATCCCATGGCCATAGAGTCTGGGAAACAGAACCTTCATTCAGTGGCTGATGGCAGACTCCCATGGCTAAGCACTGAGCTGAACTCAAGAAAGTCAGTAACAGAGAGACTGATGACCAAAGGGATTAAGACTGGGCTGGTTTAACCCCCAGAAACAGCTGACCTGACAAGGGTTAGCTCTTGAATCCCAGACTGATGCCTGGGAATCCAGCATGGGACTGATCAAGACCCCCTGAATGTGGGTGTCAGTGAGGAGGCCTAGGTAATCTATTGAGCCTTGGGCTCAATATTTATCCCGGGTATACAAATGGACTTTGGGCTCCCATCCAACAATGTGAGATGCACTCTCACCCTGAACTCTTGGGGGAGGGTCTAGGCCCTGCCCTGGATGAAATGACAGACTATGGACATCCCCATGGAGGGCCTCACCCTCCCTGGGGAAATGAGGGGATATTTGGGGGTGAGGGCACGGGAGGAGGGGAGGGAAACAGAGAGGGACCTGGAACTGACTTGTGAAGCAGCCCTGTTTCTAATTTAAATTTAAATTTAAAAATAAATAATAAAAAAAGAGTACTGGCAGGTTCCCACCATGGAACAGACTGATGCTTGGGATACTCTGAGCTCCATCATGTGGGTTGGTGCCCAGGGCTTTAGCTCTGCAAGGAGTTTGGTCTATTCAAAGGGATTTGAGATGCATGTGCAGACTGTAGACCAAGGCCCACACTGTGGGGCGAGACCACCCACTCAGCTTTCAAGGACAGACTGAAGAGTAAGCACACAGATGTCGAGTGGGTGGTCCAAGAGGGGCACCATGAGGGCTGTAGATTAGGATATGAGGGAGGAGAGAGGAAAGGTACGGGAACTCTAAGAAGGGATGACATGGTCTACAGTGGCAAACATATGAAATGAAAAGCACCACTGTCACACATCCCTTCAACATCCACTGCTGGATAGGCCCTCTGCCATGCTGAAAACCATTAGATTATATTCCTAAAGCTAGCCGCCAAGGTCTATTCCCTTATTTGGCCACTTCCTCCTCCTAAGGCTGACTACCAGGATTGGAGGCCAGCAATCAAAAGCCCCCTTTGGTTCACCTAATTAACATACCCAATTAAAATTAAACCTCATCATAACACGGGGTTTCCACCTTTACCTTTATAAACCACCATTGGCCTATGGACCATGTCTGTCTCCTCTCTATGCATAGGCAGTCCTTTGCCCTCTCCCATCCAGGACAAACATCCCTTCCCCCACTCCCTTGTTTACTCCCCCTTTCTCCCTAATCCTCTATCTCCTGTCTTTGTCTCTTATTCTCTGTCATTTGTCCCTCTGGCCTTTGTGCTGAGAACTTGGTCTTGGAGTGTCCTGAGCTGATACTGGGCCTTACAGGTGTCACTCGTGTGTTAATGAGTGAGGGGAAGGCTCCAAATACCCTCTGCCCTGCCTTCTGGAAGCCCAGAGAGAGTAAGAAGGGTTGGAGCAAAGCCATGGATATTTGGGGAGTGGGAATGAACTGGACTTGTTTGTAGACAGTGAAAATTGAACCAATAAAAAAAGAACTGTGGGAGCTGGGTGGAAGCTTCTGGACAAAGAAATGATGACACAGCAGCAAAGGAAAGATCTCAGACCCCAAGAGAAAGCACCTTGAGGAGCCTTTAGACTAGGACTGGGTGCTGTGGACAGTGATTTCAGGAAGCTGTGGAGTCTCCACACAAGCCCTGGGAGGGCAGCTCATACTCACAGTGCATCCATAAGGAACACCTCCGTGCAAGCACTTTCCGGGGGGCAGTTACTGAGCTCTCTGTCTGGCACATGACTGAAGAAGGGTTGAGTGATGTCCCTGCTCTTCACAGAGGGTCTAGAGTATAGGCTCTGAGGTAGCAATTTCCTTCAGATTAACACTTTCCCTCCTGGAAAGAAGGAGAGGTGGTGAGACTCACAAACAGACTTCAATAAGACCAGGAGAGCAGAAACATACAAGATACTCAAAGACTCTCCTCAAGATTATAGATGCAAACAACTTCTGGGCAGAGGAGACTCTCTGACCACCAGCTCAGCTTCCTGGGAGAGAGTCTCTTGCCTGGGGGCATGCCTGTGAGTAAAGCAGAAAAGTCTGAGGACACAACTTTCACGAACAGGCATCAAGGTTGGAGTGGGCTTCCAGGCCATCCATCTACCTTTGGGTCATCCGTGCTCCCGTAAACCCCAGTGAACTCACTGGCTTGCCAAGCAGACTCATTCCTTAGGTCTGTCGCTACTTTCTGTCTGGGACAAATAGACATTTCTCTACATCTCATCAGGAAAACTTAGCACAACACATGGTCTGGGTCCGTGGGAGCTAACACTTCAGGTGGGTTTACTTTACCATGAGCATCACAGCTTCCCAGAGAGGCCGCACAGCCATATGCTCTGGTGAGGACCCGCCATCTGCAGTCTGCGGGTCTCATTTCAATAGGTAATTGATTGGGTGTGGGCCCACTGCCACTTGAGAAGAGGCCCAGCCTCGAGGGAGGGCCCACCTGTCTACGGCAGCGAGGGTGGGTTTTCCTGGCTTTTCAGGATAATTGAGTGTGACATCTGCTGCTGCCAGACACCAACACCTCCAGGGTGGGCAGAGAAGGGCTCTGTTGCCAGGCATCTGTCTGTTACCTCTAGGAGAAGTTTCCTAAAGTCCCAAATCCAGATGAGTCACAGTGACGGCTTGAGAACGTTCAGCCCCACGCCCTGGAACTGAACTCAACTGTGTTCAGCTCTTGAAGATTCCCAGTACAGATGCCCCCCTCCACTGATGGCAGGAGCATGCCCTGCTCCTGCGGCCCTCACCACCACCCAGGACAAAACATTTTCATACACAAAGGTAACCCCGCCTGTGAGCTGCCCAGCCCTGCAGTCCCTGATCTTCTGCTATCGTGTTTAAGTATTCAGGACTCTTCTTGTACATTAATTCATATAATATCCTGTCCTTTGTTTCTTGCTTCTTCACTCAGAGTAATGTTTTCTAGGCCCAGCCTTATCATGGCATGTGTGGAGGCTCAAATACTCTTAATGATGGATACCCTACTGTATTCCAATGAACACTCACCGAAGCATATTCCACACAACCCAAATGTGGAGGTTCTCTGGATATCCAGTGCCAGGCAAGGGAAGCACTGAATAAAGGCAAAGTTAGCACTTTCTCTGCAACTTCAGGTCAAGTGTGATGATGCATACACACCATTAATTCCCCCACAGTCAAGAGTAGGGAGGCAGAGTCTGGTGGATCTCTGTGAGGTCAAGACCAGCCTATTCTATATATTGAGTTCTGGGACAGCCAGAATGGACAAACAAACAAACAAACAAACAAAAAGCCAGATTCACTTTATTCTTGATTTTGTGCATTCTTGTGTGTCTGTGTGGGTATATGTGAGTGGAGGTGCCTCTGGAGGCCAGAAGAGGGCGCCAGCACGCTGGAGCTGGAGTTATGGGTAATTGTGAACCATCTGACCTTGATGCTGGAAAACTTAAGTCCAGGTCTCTGCAAGAACAGCAGAGACATTAACCACAGAGTCACCTTTCCAGCCGCAGTTGGTATTGTTAATAGACATTGAAGCAGGAGCTAGCTCACTGTAGAAAACATGAGGAAAGGCCCCATAATGAAAGCTTCATACAGGTCACAAAAGATACAGTGAAAACCACTTAAGAAGATTAAATAAGAGACCTTGCTGCTACTGAGAATGATATCAAAGCTTAAGAAGAAAAAAGGGACTATGAGAAACAAGTTTAGGACCAGCTTCCAAGAAGCTCCAAGAAACCTATGCAAGGCCCTGTTACCTTTTCACAATTCTTCCTTCTAACACGGCCAATTGTAATGAGATAAATTGTAAGTAAGAACATGTAGGCAGCCTTTTCTTTCTCGCCTACCAGTTCCCAAATAACCGACGTAGAGACTTAAATTATAACTACTCAGCCAATAGCTCAGGCTTGTTACTAGCTAACTCTTAGATTTTATATTAACCCACATTTCTTTTCTATGCTTTTCCATGTGGCTTGGTACCTTTTCTCAGTATGGTATGCCCATCTTGTGTCTCTCTGCACCTGCTGGCAAGTCCTCTGACTCTGCCCTTCTTCCTCCCAGCATTCTCAGTTTGGCTCTCCCGCCTAACCTTATCCTGTTCAGCTACTGGACAGTCAGCTTCTTTACTAAACCAATCACTGAGACATGTATTTACACAGTTTAAAGGGATGTTCCACAAGGACAGTTTCTAAAAGACTCCCATTTATGTCAGGAAAGAGACTACCCCAGATACCTCAGACTGTCCCATAGACTAGGAATTAAATGAGGTAATTAAGAAAGACTACAGCTATATTTTGATAGCTGTAGTAAGAATTGACTTTATGGAGAAGTTACAATCTGGCCACATGAAAAGATTTTATCCTAAGAGCCAGCAGAACCCAGCAAAGTCCAAGACCAGCAAGACCTCCAAGGTTGGCACCACCAGAAATGACAGCTCAGGCTAATGACTTGTACACAGGACAAGGTCAGTCATTAGCACAGTAATAGGAACAGACAGAAGGGGGTTTCAATGCATGAATACACCCCTAGCTGGGTGGGCAGCACATGCACAGTTTTTGATCATCAGTTCATATACATGCATGTGTGCATGTGCGTGTGTATGTTACACACATGTGTGCATGCATGCAATGTGAATACAGGTACTCATGATGGCCAGAAGAGGACATCAGCCTCAATTCTTATTGTCAGAAAAATTTGCAGAGTCTAATACCCCTAATTAGCTCAACCTGTGATATGCCCAGAGAATTAATTTTTCTTGATAGAAATTACTCCAATGGTTCTCAACCTTCCTAATGCTGCAACCCTTTAATACAGTTACTCGTGCTGTGGTGTCCCCATAAGATTATTTTTGTTGCTACTTCATAACTATAATTTGTTACTGCTATTAATCTTAATATAAATATTTGATAAGCAGGATATCTAATATCCTGAAAGGGTCATTCAACCCTCAAAAGGGGTCACAACCCTCATGTTGAGAACCACTGCCCTAGATAAACATCTCACTGAGTTTTCCTCTCTTGAGAACTCTTTCTGCCCTGGGGAGTGCCTCTCACTTTTCCATGATTTCTATTAATAACCCTTGCTTTCGTTTTGCTTATGCATACGTCCAAATCATTTTTATTCTTCTCTCATATATTACATCCCAACCACAGTTTCTCCTCCTTCCTCTTCTCCCAGCCCCCCCCCAACCTTCCCTCTTCCCCAGATCCACTCCTCCTCCTTTCCCTTCAGAAAAAGGCAGACTGCACTGGAATACCAGCCAAGTGTGGCATATCAAGTTGTAATAACGACTAGGCGCATTGCCTTATATTAAGTTTGGATGAGGCAACCCAGGAGGAGGAAAATGGTCCAGAAGCACACAAAAGAGTCAAAGATAGCCCCTGCTCCCACTGTTAGGAGTCCCACAAGAACACCAAGCTACACAACAGTAACCTATATGCAGAGGACCTAGGAGAGACCTATTCAGGCTCCCTGATTGTCACTTCACTCTGTGAGCCCCTATGAGCCCTGGTTAGCTGATTCTGTGGGACTTCCCTTGTGGCATCCTTGACCCCTCTGGCTCCTACAATCCTTCATCACCCTCTTCTTCAGGATTCCCTAAGCTCCACCATACATTTGGTTGTGGGTCTCAGGCAAACATATCCACACATTTAATTTCCATTTGCATGACAAAACATACTTAAGAGGCATTCTCTCAGGTAGGTTTGAGGTGACCATTGAGTATCTGGCTTCATAAGCTCCTGGGTCACACCTGTTTGGACTGAGAAAGGTCCTATCATTTTCCAAAACTGCATCTATAGGCAGTTACTGTAAACTAGGTGGTAGAATCCCAAAGAGCAAGCACCTGAGTCCCTCTTCAGGATGCCCTCTGCAGGTAACTCATCAAGAACCCAGCCAGCCAGCACAGCCCTGCAGTCCCAAAACACTGGTACCCAGCATTGAAGACCCCCTCCCCTGACACTTTCCAAACGAGAGCTCTACTCTCCTCCCACTCACATAATGCTGGCTCAAGAAGTCCAAGGAATGACAAGCATCATTTCCCAACTCCTTGAGATGCTCTCAGTACCCCTGATGCCTGGAGTTGGTTCTTGCTGTATCGCTGAGATGTTGTCATTGGTTTCTTCTGGCCTAGATTTCATTTAAAATGGACTCTGCTAGCCATGGGCATCACAGAGTATCTAGTTGTATGGTCCTGACATACAACTAGATAGTACCCTGTGGTCTCTTGGTTTTAGCTGAGAAAAATAGTACTTTCCCTTCGGGTCTTCCTTCCTATGTCTGCTGGTCCTCTGTTCAGAAGCCCCTGTCTCTAAGGCTCTGGTTTTAGAGACACTATTAGAGGACTCCATACCATGCCTCACTGCGTCCTTCACATGAAGGACCATATTCCCCACTCTTCACTGGCTAGCAGACAAGATGGATAGAGCTCAAAGGAAGATTCCAGGAGTCCCTTGAGGCTGGAAACAAGTGTGGTCACAAGCTGCCACATGGGACTGTACAAATATAACTCTTGCTATATGAAGCCAGGTGCTGTCCAAGATGAAATGGCCACATACTTATTTAGGAGCACTACCCACCCCGAGATGAGCTGGTACCAGGCAGTACAAAGACCTTGAGGCTGATCACATCCTTAGACCTCTTCTGAGGGGCTCTGAAGACAGAGGAGCCTGTGGAACCCAACTCCACCTGGGGTCATGTTTCAGCTCAAGAGGGACCAGAGCCTACACTCTAACTGGGAGCTCCTGGAATGGGTGGCCTGACTAGGGAACCTAAAAGGGGATGGGCCAGCCTTGTGAAGATACCAGAGCTAAGGCTTCAAAAGGCCTATGCCCAACAGGAAGCACTGAGATGGCATGT